CCCTCGCTTTCCCCAATTTTACCACCGATTTTATTTTGGACACCGACGCCTGCAGCAGCGGGCTGGGCGCGGTGTTGTCACAGGTACAGGATGGGACGGAACGAGTCATCGCGTACGCCAGCCGGACCTTGAGTGGGGCCGAGCTGAACTATTGCGTGACCCGCCAAGAGTTGTACGCCGTGATTTTCGCATGCAAACAGTTCCGGCCGTATTTGTACGGCAGGAGATGTCGCGTACGCACTGACCATTATGCTCTGCAGTTTCTTCTTACATTCAAGGAGCCGCGGGGGCAGATGGCCCGGTGGTTGGCGCAGTTGCAGGAGTACAACCTGCAAATCGAGTATCGGGCTGGCCGGACGCATGCAAACGCGGACGCCTTGTCGAGGCGACCCACGGTGTACGCCGAGACGAGGGCGGAGGAGGCCTGCCCGTGTTTCACGGGGGGACGCTGCCGGCAGGCAACGGACCCCCGAGAGGCCGCGGCCACTGACCCCCCCCCAGCGAGAGAGAGTGCAGTGTGCGCCACAGAGACCCTCACAGGTGGCACTGAGGATCCCGTCGACCGCCCGGCAAGCGCGGGACCCGCGGCTCGGGACCCGATCGGACGGATCCAGGAGGACGTCGGCTGCGCCTTCCCGGGCCTAAACGACGAGCAGCTGAGACAGACCCAGCAGCGAGATCCGGATCTGGCGGCAGTGGAGGCGCACTGCGGGAGGAAAAGAGCGCCCTACCAGGACCCTGGAGCGGTTTGTATGCCCGGTTGTGTGTGCAGAACGGAGTGGAACGGGAGTTAACCGAGGCCGGCCAGCCGGGGTGCATCTGTGTTCCTGCCCAGGTGCGACCCCAGCTGCTACGGCTGGTGCATGACCACCCACTCGGGGGCCACGATGGGGAACGACGCACTCGAGAGACCCTGCGTCGCCAGTATCTCTGGCCCAAATTGGCACAAGATGTGGCCGCCTGGGTGCAGGGCTGCCGGGCCTGTCAGCAGTGTGGGCAAAAGCCGGCGAGGTACCAGGTACCCCTGAGGCCGTTCCGAGTCAGTCGAACGAATCAGTTGGTCGGAATCGACCTGCAGGGGCCCTTTCCACGATCCCACCGGGGCAACCGATATATTCTCGTAGCGGTGGAATACTTCACCCGCTACCCCGTGGCGGTGGCTATCCCGGATAAAACAGCCCTCGTAGTGGCCCGGGCCTTCGTGGAAAACTACGTACTTAAGTGCGGGATCCCCGAACGAGTCATTACCGACCAGGGTAGTGAATTCGAGGCCGAACTATTTCAGGCGCTGTGCCGAGAGTTCGGGATCCAGAACGACCGAACCACGGCGTATCACCCCCAGGCGAACGGGATGGTAGAGAGGATGAACCAGACTCTGGCCGGGAAGCTTAAACGCATGGCGGCCGCGAATCAACAGGACTGGGACGAACACCTTCCCTATGCCCTGTTCGCCTACACCACCGCCGTTCACACCTCTACAGGACAGACCCCGTTCCTAATGATGTTTGGTCGCGAGTCTCGCCTGCCCGCAGATCTGCTGTTCGGTGTCCCTCCGCCGCAATGGGAGGAAGGGAGCCACCCCGTGGAGCACTTGCTGGAGACCCTGCGAGGGGCCAGGGGCCGAGCCTACCCGCACGGAGAGGCCGCGCACCAGCGGCAAGAGCAGGGCGCCCGACCCCGTATGGAGCCCCCCTTCTACACTGCGGGCTCCGAGGTGTGGCTGTACACTCCCCGCGTCGGTGCCGGACAGGTGGGGAAGCTGACCACCTACTGGCGAGGACCCTGGATTGTGAGACGGCAGATCTCACCATGGACGGTGCTGATTCAGGGAGGAGAGAGGGGCCAGGAGATGGTGGTCAACATCCGCCGACTGAAGCCGTGGCGAGCAGCCCCCGAGGGGGGGAGCCCCGCCGTCCAAGTACCCCGAAACCCCGGGGTCCCCCCACCCCCCGTGCCCGGGGGCCTCGCGCAGTACATGGGCCCCACGGAGCCCCGGGCTCCGAGGGGCCCCGGGCGGGGCCGGGGGCGACGAGGACGGCGACCCTTAAACCCCACCGCCTCTGAGTTTGTTCCCCAGCCCGCAGGTGCCAGAGGCCGAGGGGAGCCGTTGGAATGGAGGAGGAGACCACCGCCGGAGCCCCAGGAGACGGAGCCGCCACCCCCGAGGCCAGCCACAAGGGCCGGGCGAATCCCGCGGACCCCGCGGCGATACCTCGTGGGGGCAACCCAGGCGAGGTGCTCCAGTCAACCCGGGACGGGGACTGGCACCCCGGGGGGCTATGTGGTGCCACAACGACGGGGCCGCTCTGCCGAGCCAGGGAGCCGCCCGGCTTCCCCCACCGCACTGCCCCCCATCACCCGCCCCACATAAGCACAATCCGCACGCATTCCCCCCCCCCCCATAGAGCTGGAAGGGAAGGTTATCTGATCGACCGGTTTTTATCCGAGAGACCCTTATCGGGATTAATTCTCACGGTTTCCGGCGATCAGGGAATTGGATGACCTCCCCCGTGCTACGTGGCACCGCGGCGCTGCGGCCGGCCTTAATATGGTGTGGTCGCGGCGTGGGGCATTCGGCCACCGCGGTTGAGGCGCATTTCCCCCCCACACACACCCCTACGAGTCGACGGGGCAAGCAGGGGAAGCACGGGACAGCATGAATAGCGGGGTCACAGGGGCTGTTGCGCATAGTCATGGAGGGTTGGGATAATTGCGCTTGAGCGCGCAGGCCCCATTGTTAGGAAGGGTAAGGGAGTAATTAGGATGTACGCCGCCAACGTCGCTCACTGATTAGCATATCAACAGCGCCCGGGAACCGCCGTGCGCGGGCTTGGGGTGCACGAGCCCATTGTTCAGCGCAGCATCCCCTTTGAGGTAGGGAGGATAAATAGAGGAGCGCAGAGGGGAAATCGCTCTCTTACTCCAGCACCAGGCGACCAGACGCAGCTCGAGCCAGCGACCCGGACGTCCGTGCGACGCACCGAGGCACGCGGTTAGCACCAGGATCAGCGGACCGCCGTGGACACTTAACAGTGAGTAAGAAGGTGAATTAGAATCATAGCCGATAAATAGGGAATAGGTGCCGGTTTAGTGGAATAGGCCCGCCTCGTCGACTCACTGATTGAACATCAGTTACCAGGTAATAAATCATTAATAGCAAAGCGTGGTCTCGCGTGATCTTGTCGTGCAGTGTGAGCGTGCGGGAACGCGTGTGGTACTGTGTGTGCGTAAGCTCGCGGCGTGCGTAATAGGCGTACCCCAGGTGCGCGATCATAACGCAAGCGGCCAGCAGACGGCGAGCGCTGCGCAGAGCGGCGCAAGAGTGGGTGTCGCGTGTGTTCACTCCGTGTGTGATACAGGTGCGCGATCATAACTTGCGTAGTTGGTGTGGAGTTGGAGTGCACGGAGCGGCGTGTGTGTGTGTGCATACGTTCGTTACATGTCGGATACGGATGCGCATTGGTAACGTGCCGCACAGGGCTATACTGCGAGCACGGCGTTTGATTGACGATGATGTGCGCACGTATGCTCGCAGCGTGGGAGCGCGGCGCGAGGCTGTAACAGTAGGGGCGTCGCATTCGAATGCCGGCGAAACCGTAGCGAGTAATAGGGAGGTGGGGTAACGTAAACGGAATAGGAGATGCAGGCGGGAGGGACCCCTGGGGCCAACGGCCCCCACAATAGATAGATCGTTTATTGTCATTGTCACCAGTACAACGAAATTTAAAATGCTCACCAGTCAGGGCATCATTCATAAATTTAAATTAAATAAAACAAGAAAATAAAAATTAAATTAAATGAAAGATAATCAATTTATACTATATATAAAAACAGCCCAAGTATACCCACATACCCACATAAGGTTACATTTTGTCATTGCACATCTCTATTTCACAGTCAATTGTAAACACTATTACTTAATAATTAATTAGCATTATTGAGTGTGGTGATCGCTGTAGGATAAAAGCTCTGTTTGAATCTGTTTGTCTTTGTTTTGACTGATCTAAATCGTCTGCCTGATGGCAACAGCTCAAACAGTGAGTGTCCAGGGTGAGAAGAGTCCTTTATAATGTTCTGTGCTTTTTTGATGCAACGTGAACTGTGTAGTTCTTCCAGTGTGGGGAGATGGCAGCCGGCGATCTTTTGGGCTGTGTTGATGACCCTCTGGAGCGCTTTCCTCTGAGCCACTGTGCAGCTGGTGTACCATACACAGATGCAGTATGTAAGAATGCTCTCGATGGAGGCTCGGTAGAAGGACACTGTGATGCCGCCGCCACGAAGCCGTTCGGCAGGCACCAAATCCCCGACCTCGCCACCACCAAGCAACGGAGCCGACCCCGCGTCCCCCTCACCTCACCTCACATTAACACACCCGCACTCATTTCCCCCCCCCCCATAGAGCTCCGAGGGGAGGTCGCCTGGCCGACCGGTTTTTATCCGAGAGACCCTTATCGGGATTAATTCTCACGGTTTCCGGCGATCAGGGGATTGGATGACCTCCCCCGTGCTACGTGGCACCGCGGCGCTGCGGCCGGCCTTAATATGGTGTGATTGCGGCGTGGGGCATTCGGCCACCGCGGTTGAAGCGCATCTCCCCCCACACACACTCCCACGGGTCGACGGGGCGAGCAGGGGAGGCACGGGACAGCATGAATAGGGGGGTCACAGGGGCTGTTGCGCATAGTCATGGAGGGTTGGGATAATTGCGCTTGAGCGCGCAGGCCCCATTGTTAGGGAGGGTAAGGGATTAAGTAGGATTTACGCCTTGCACGCAGCACACTGATTAGCATATCAACAGCGCCCAGAACCGCCGTGCGCGTGCCAGAGGATCGCGAGCCCATTGTTTAGCGCAGCATCCCCTTTGAGGTAGGGAGGATAAATAGAGGGGCGCAGAGGGAAAATAGCTCTCTTCTCTCCAGCGCCAGGCGACAGGACGCTCTCCAGTCCAGCGACCCGATCGTCCGTGAGACGCATCGAGGTGCGCTGCGAGCACGGGTTCAACGAACCGCCGTGGGCATCCAGCAGGAAGTAAGTAGGTGAATTAGAATCATAGCAGATAAATCGGGAATAGGTATAAAGGTATCAGCGTAGGCCAGCCTCGTCGACTCACTGATTTAACATTAAATTACCAGGTATCAGATAATAAATCATTAATAGCGAAGCGTGGTCTCGCGTGATATTGTCGTGCAGTGTGAGCGTGTGGGTGCGCGTGTGTGCAGGTGTGTGCGCTCGTAGTGTGGGTGAAGGGGTCGGTGCGTCCGCAGGTCCCCGATCCGTCTGTCGCCGCCGGGACTCGCGCAGTGTGAGGGCAGCGCCGTTCGCCCCCGACCCCCGTTTTAATAGCGCGTGATCCGTGGAGAGACAACGCAGCGTCTGCAGGTGAACGAGGGCGTGCGGCGAGCTATGCCTCTCACACGAGCTCGCGGAGGGACGGACCAGGGAGGGGAGCCGTCGGGCGATGAGCCCAGCGACGGCAGCAGCTGCTCGCAGAGCAGCGAGGGGTCGGCGCACGGCGGAGCCCCTGCCATAGGCACGGAGCAGGGAGGGACTCCGGGGACCAGCGGCCCCAACAACTTGGTGCCAGAAGTGGGACGAACCCTCACATCTTCACGGGAAGGTGGCGCGCTACTCCACGCAAAGGTAAGGCATGTGTTCACCGGCCAGGGGACCCCTACATGGAAAGCGTTTTCCCGTAATATCATAGGGGCTAAAGAGCTTAATGGCTGGTCGGACGCGCAGGCGTTGCGACATCTTACGTTAAACTTAGACGGGCGGGCAGCCGACTTTGTAGAGGCACTACCCGAAAGCGCGCAAACCCAACTAGAAGAACTAATGCGTAGATTAGACCTGCGTTTCGGCACACGCAACGTGATACGGGCGAAGACCGCCTTAGAGGCGCGCCGACGCCAAACTGGCGAGGACTTCCGAGACTACGCTGAGGACGTGCGATCACTAACCCGGATCGCCCGTCCAGAGTTCTCGAAGGAGGTCATTGACGCGCTAGCTGCAGACAAGCTACTCAGGTACCTAGCTCGCACCGCGTGGTGGCAGCCCAAAAAGAGTAGCGCAGGCCTCCCTTTCGATACCCTAGTCGAGCAAGCGCTGGAGTGTGAGGAGCTCTCCAGCGAACGCGCGCAGCTCCGAGGGTCGGGACAGGAGTACACCGTGGCGAGCCTGATCCCTGACGAGGAGGAGGATGAGGATGAGCCCGCCAGCCCCATGGGGAGACGGGCAAGAGAGGCCCAGAAACCCCGCGAGACAACCCCGGGTTGGGTAGCTGGGTTACAGACCGGCATGGGAGATATTGCTGGCCGAGTAGACCGAATGGACGGTAAGGTAACCCAAGTAGGGGAGAGGGTAACCCACGTAGGTGAGAGGGTAACCCAGGTACGCGAGGAAGCGAATAAAAATATGAAGACCCTCCAGTCTGAGATGGGGGAACTACGCTCGACCGTAGGGGGGCTGGCCGGGAGAGTAGCCCAATTAGAGTCCGATGTGGGACAACTGCGTACTGGGGGAGGGAGAGGGAGCGGACAGGGGACCCGCTACGGAGCCGCCCCCCCTCCCCGGGCATGTTATATGTGCGACCGCCGAGGGCATCTAGTGAGAGACTGTCCTGAAATCACCCGAGCTAGGCAGACGCGGGGGTTAAACTCCAACGCCCCCTAGAAAGCGGACCAACTAGGGGTGCAATCGACGCGGTCCCGATACAAATAGACGATAATGAGAATAATGGCGAGCGAGTGATCTCCACACAGGTTCCAGCAACAACGCCCACAGAAACGGTGACTCCTGGCGACTGGCTGCGGGAGCTGGTGGCGGGGATCACGGGGGCCACGTCGCTGGTGGAAGGGGAGGTAAACGGAGTGCGTACCCGAATCCTGCTGGACACGGGGGCGGTGGCCTCGCTCGTGAGCGCAGCGCACTGCAGCGCGATCGGGGTCGACGTGCGTCACCTGCAGGCCCCGGACCGCGCGCTGCACACTGCGAGCGGAGCCGGAATGGGGCTGCTGGGGAGAGCCACCCTAGAGGTCCGCATAGGCAGCCAGGTGTGCACGCAGGAGTTCTACGTGTCGAGTGCGTTGTGTCACGAGTGTATCGCAGGCACCGACCTCCTAGAACGGTTGGGACTCAACGTGCAACCCCGCCAGCGATGCGCCACCATGGAGAGCAACGGCGAGCGGATACCGTTCCTGGGACGAGAACCAACGCGCCGCCGCTTTGCACCTGTGGCCGCTATCCTGGCGACGACAGTCACCATCGGCCCGCTCACCGAGATGCTGGTGCCGGTGGCAACATCCCCCACCGACCCCGCGCTCCGACCATCAGGGGAGGTAATGCTAACTCCTCACCCGGAGTTGGCAAAACGGTATGGGGTTGTGGGATCCGCCACGTTGGTAAACGCAGATGGGGACCGATTGTTTATGCGGATGTTTAACCCCCACAATACCCCAGCGATACTGCGACGGCGCACCCCGATAGCCACAGTACACCCCCTGCACGCACGCCACTCTAACGACTCGGTGTTCGCACTCTGGGCTGAGGACCCCGGGCATCCTGAGGGTGACCAGGACCTGGCCTGGCGAGTCGGCCCGACTCCCCGAGCCGAGGTCGTTCCCCTGCTCGACGCGTTACATGTACCATGGGCGGATTTACCTAAGGGAGAGGCCGATCGGCTGCGCGAGTTACTGCGGGAGTATGCCGACGTATTCAGTGAACACGACTCGGACGTGGGTCGGACCGATCTTGTTAAGCACCAAATTGACACCGGTGCAGCCCGACCCATCAAACTCCCTGCGTACCGAGTGGGCGCACCCGAACACGCCCAAATCAAAGAGGCAGTTGGGGACATGCTTCGCGATAACATAATTCAGCCCTCGGCGAGCCACTGGTCAGCCCCGGTGGTACTAGTAACGAAAAAGGATGGGTCAACACGGTTCTGCGTCGATTACCGTAAACTAAATGCAGTCACGCTCGGCGATGCCTTCCCTATACCCCGCATCGACGACACCTTCGACAGCCTCGCCGGAGCGCGATATTTTTCCACCCTCGATCTCGCGTCCGGGTACTGGCAGGTGGAGATGGCGGAGGAGGATCGGTCGAAAACCGCATTCACCACCCCGATGGGGCTATTCGAGTTTCGAGTACTCCCGTTCGGACTCACCAATGCGCCCGCGACGTTCCAGCGGCTGATGGAGTTGGTGATGCGGGGCTTGCAATGGGAACAGTGCCTGATTTACTTGGACGATGTGATAGTGTTCAGTAGATCTTTGTCTGAGCATTGGTCCAGGCTTCGAGAGGTGTTCCAGCGACTGCGAGCGGCTCATCTCAAGCTCAAGCCACGTAAGTGTTACATCGCACAACGCGAGGTGGGGTACCTCGGGCATCGCGTCAGCGAGGCAGGCGTGCACACCGATCCGGAGAAGGTATGCGCCGTAGTGGAGTGGCCACGGCCAAGGAATCTGACGGAGATCAGATCATTTTTGGGGCTTGCCACCTATTATCGTCGATTTGTAAAGGGATTCAGCGAGATTGCACGCCCCCTCACCCAACTCACTTCCCCTAAGCACCCCTATCAGTGGACGGGGGCCTGCCAGACGGCCTTCACCACTCTCAAAGACCACCTCACCCACGCCCCCACCCTCGCTTTCCCCGATTTTACCACCGATTTTATTTTGGACACCGACGCCTGCAGCAGCGGGCTGGGCGCGGTGTTGTCACAGGTACAGGATGGGACGGAACGAGTCATCGCGTACGCCAGCCGGACCTTGAGTGGGGCCGAGCTGAACTATTGCGTGACCCGCCAAGAGTTGTACGCCGTGATTTTCGCATGTAAGCAGTTCCGGCCGTATTTGTACGGCAGGAGATGTCGCGTACGCACTGACCATTATGCTCTTCAGTTCCTTCTTACATTCAAGGAGCCGCGGGGGCAGATGGCCCGTTGGTTGGCGCAGTTGCAGGAGTACAACCTGCAAATCGAGTATCGGGCTGGCCGGACGCATGCAAACGCGGACGCCTTGTCGAGGCGGCCCACGGTGTACGCCGAGACAAGGGCGGAGGAGGCCTGCCCCTGTTTCACCGGGGGACGCTGCCGGCAGGCAACGGACCCCCGAGAGGCCGCGGCCACTGACCCCCCCCCAGCGAGAGAGAGTGCAGTGTGCGCCACAGAGACCCTCACAGGTGGCACCGAGGATCCCGTCGACCGCCCGGCAAGCGCGGGACCCGCGGCTCGGGACCCGATCGGACGGATCCAGGAGGACGTCGGCTGCGCCTTCCCGGGCCTGAACGACGAGCAGCTGAGACAGACCCAGCAGCGAGATCCGGATCTGGCGGCCGTGGAGGCGGCACTGCGGGAGGAAAAGAGCGCCCTACCAGGACCCTGGAGCGGTTTGTATGCCCAGTTGTGTGTGCAGAACGGAGTGGTACGGGAGTTAACCGAGGCCGGCCAGCCAGGGTGCATCTGTGTTCCTGCCCAGGTGCGACCCCAGCTGCTACGGCTGGTGCATGACCACCCACTCGGGGGCCACGATGGGGAACGACGCACTCGAGAGACCCTGCGTCGCCAGTATCTCTGGCCCAAATTGGCACAAGACGTGGCGGCCTGGGTACAGGGCTGCCGCGCCTGTCAGCAGTGCGGGCCGAAACCGGCACGATACCAGGTACCCCTAAGGCCGTTCCGCGTCAGCCGCACGAATCAGCTGGTCGGGATCGATCTACAGGGGCCATTCCCACGATCCCATCGAGGCAACCGGTATATTCTAGTCGCAGTAGAGTATTTCACCCGCTACCCCGTGGCAGTGGCCATCCCTGATAAAACGGCCTTGGTGGTGGCCCGGGCATTCGTAGAACATTACGTACTCAAGCACGGGATCCCGGAACGAGTCCTTGTGGTGCCACAGCGACGGGGCCGCTCTGCCGAGCCAGGGAGCCGCCCGGCTTCCCCCACCGCACTGCCCCCCATCACCCGCCCCACATAAGCACACACCCGCACGCATCCCCCCCCCCCCCCCCATAGAGCTGGAAGGGAAGGTTACCTGATCGACCGGTTTTTATCCGAGAGACCCTTATCGGGATTAATTCTCACGGTTTCCGGCGATCAGGGAATTGGATGACCTCCCCGGTGCTACGTGGTACCGCGGTGCTGCTGCCGGCCTTAATATGGTGTGGTCGCGGCGTGGGGCATTCGGCCACCGCGGTTGAGGCGCATTTCCCCCCACACACACCCCCACGAGTCGACGGGGCAAGCAGGGGAGGCACGAGACAGCATGAATAGCGGGGTCACAGGGGCTGTTGCGCATAGTCATGGGGGGTTGGGATAATTGCGCTTGAGCGCGCAGGCCCCATTGTTAGGAAGGGTAAGGGAGTAATTAGGATGTACGCCGCCAACGTCGCTCACTGATTAGCATATCAACAGCGCCTGGGGACTGCCGTGCGCGGGCTTGGGGTGCACGAGCCCATTGTTCAGCGCAGCATCCCCTTTGGAGGTAGGGAGGATAAATAGAGGAGCGCAGAGGGGAAATCGCTCTCTTACTCCAGCGCCAGGCGACCAGACGCAGCTCGAGCCAGCGACCCGGACGTCCGTGCGACGCACCGAGGCACGCGGTTAACACAAGGATCAGCGGACCGCCGTGGACACTTAACAGTGAGTAAGAAGGTGACTTAGAATCATAGCCGATAAATAGGGAATAGGTGCCGGTTTAGTGGAATAGGCCAGCCTCGTCGACTCACTAATTCAACATTAGTTATCAGGTAATAAATCATTAATAGCGAAGCGTGGTCTCGCGTGATCTTGTCGTGCAGTGTGAGCGTGTGGGAACGCGTGTGGTACTGTGTGTGCGTAAGCTCGCAGCGTGCGTAATCGGCGTCCCCCAGGTGCGCGATCATAGCGTAATCGGCTGCGCATTGTTGTACGGTTTATCTCGCGCGCACGGCGGCGGCGACTTTAGTCGTTGTGTCGGCGTGTGCCCCGCTGGCGTGTGCTCGTTACGTGTTATAAGTGTGAACGCGTGTGGTACGGGGTATGCGTAAGCTCTCGTCGTGCGAAATCGGCGTACCCCAGGTGCGCGATTGTAACGTGAGCGGCCAGCGCGGCGCAGAGAAGCGCAAGAGTGAGTGCCGTACGGAGCTGTGTGTGTGGGTGTGCGCGTACGTAATTAATCATGCCTGCTACGCGGACCCGCGGTGGGGTGGAACCCTCGGGCGACGGCTCCCACACCATGGGTGAGGAACTTAGCAGCGGTTCGCTTAGCAGCGGGGGGGCGATTGATGATGCTAGCCCGGCCGTTAGCATTATCGAGGGAGGGATCTCGGGGGCTAGCGACCCCCACAAATTGGTGTCGGAAGCGGTACGGACCCCCGCGTTACCTCACGCTAAAATAAGACTAATATTTACCGGCCGGGGGGCCCCTTCGTGGAAGGCATTCGCCCGCAATCTCTTAGGGGCCAAGGAAATTAATGGGTGGACGGACGCGCAGGCAGTACGTCAACTTAATATGAATCTTGATGGGCGGGCAGCCGATTTTGTAGAAGCGTTACCCGCGAGCGCACAGACACAGCTAGAGGAGCTGATGCGCCGACTCGATCAGCGGTTTGGCACGCGTGACGAGGAGGAAGCAAAATCGGCCTTAGAGGCGCGCCGGCGCCAACCTGGCGAAGATCTACGTGATTACGCCGAGGATGTGCGCGAGTTAACAAAGATCGCACGCCCGGGGTACGCAACTGATGTTATTGAGGAACTGGCCGCCGAGAAAATCCAGCGGTACCTGTCTCGCACGGCGTGGTG